TATGCTGCCACCCCCGTGCTTCACGGTTGGGATGGTGTTCTTCGGCTTGCAAGCATCCCCCTTTTTCCTCCAAACATGGTCATAATGGCCAAACAGTTTTATTTTTGTTTCATCAGACCAGAGGACATTTCTCCAAAAAGTACGATCTTTGTCCCCATGTGCAGTTGCAAACCGTTATCTGGCTTTTTTATGGCGGTTTTGGAGCAGTGGCTTCTTCCTTGATGAGCAGCCTTTCAGGTTATGTCGATATAGGATTCGTTTTACTGTGGATATAGATACTTTTGTACCTGTTTCCTCCAGCATCTTCACAAGGTCCTTTGCTGTTGTTCTGGGATTGATTTGCACTTTTCACACCAAAGTACGTTCATCTCTAGGAGACAGAACGCGACTCCTTCCTGAGCGGTATGATGGCTGCGTGCTCCCATGGTGTTTATACTTGCATACTATTGTTTGTACAGATGAACGTGGTACCTTCAGGCATTTGGAAATTGCTCACAAGAATGAACCAGACTTGTGGAGGCCTACAATTTCTTTTCTGAGGTCTTGGCTGATTTATTTTGATTTTCCCATGATGTCAAGCAAAGAGGCACTGAGTTTGAAGGTAGGACTTGAAATACGAAATACATTCACAGGTACACCTCCAATTGACTCAAATGATGTCAATTAGCCTGTCAGAAGCTTCTAAAGCCATGACATCATTTTCTGGAATTTTCCAAGCTGTTTAAAGGCACAGTCAACTTAGTGTATGTAAACTTCTGACCCACTGGAATTGTGATACAGTGAATTATAAGTGAAATAATCTGTCTGTAAACAATTGTTGGAAAAATTACTTGTGTCATGCACAAAGTAGATGTCCTAACCAACTTGCCAAAACTATAGTTTGTTAAAAATAAATTTGTGGAGTGGTTGAAAAACGAGTTTTGACTTCCGACTTCGACTGTACTTACTGAAGGACTTTTCACCACTTTATTACGTCCAATTGATCATTCGTACATGTGCAATCTTGGTTAGTAAAATAATACATTTCTCTACTAATAATGTTATTTCAGACAGTAATGGGAGATATTTAATCATAACTGGCACCATTTGGCACACACCTGATTAATGGCGCTGGAGAAAATGGCTGCCGTTTTACAGCCCTCTAACCAATTGTACTATTATGTGTGTTTTTTCGCGTTATTTGTAATTTATTCTGTACATAATGTTTCTGCCACCGTCTCTTACGACCAAAACTAGATTCTGGATATCAGGACAGCAATTACTCACCTCGTATTGGATGAAGATTTTTTCTTCAATGAGTCGGACGCGAAGGATATCCTACAGACACCCGACAAGGCCCAAATCCCCGTCATTCGCATGAGAAAGATACGGAGGTATCGTGGACATAGGTCGGGGTGACTTGTAAGGATCCGACGTCGAGCGAGTAAACTGCCTCTTCCATCAATCCTATTAGCCAATGTTCAATCATTTGAAAATAAATTGGACGACCTATGATTAAGGTTATCCTACCAACGGGACATTAAAAACTGTAATATCTTATGTTTCACCGAGTCGTGGCTGAACGACGACATGGATAACATACAGCTGGCGGGATATACGCTACATCGGCAGGATAGAACGGCTGACTCTGGTAAGACAAGGGGTGGCGGTCTGTGTATATTTGTAAACAACAGCTGGTGCACAAAATCAAATACTAAGGAAGTCTCGAGGTTTTGCTCGCCTGAGGTAGAGTATCTCATGATAAGCTGTAGACCATACTATTTACCAAGAGAGTTTTAATCTATATTTTTCATAGCTTTCTATTTACCACCACAAACCGATGCTGGCACTAAGATTGCACTCAATGAGCTGTATAAGGCCATAAGTAAACAGGAAATGCTAATCCAGAGGCAGCGCTCCTAGTGGCCGGGGACTTTAATGCAGGGAAACTTAAGTCCGTTCTACCTCATTTCTACCAGCATGTTAAATGTGCAACCAGAGGAAAAAAAACTCTAGACCACCTTTACTCCACACACAGAGACGTGTAGAAAGCTCTCCCTCGCCCTTCATTTGGCAAATCTGACCATAACTCTATCCTCCTGATTCCAGCTTATAAGCAAAAACTAAAGCAGGAAGCACCAGTGACTCAGTTAATAAGGAAGTGGTCAGATGACGCAGATGCTAAGCTACGGGACTGTTTTGCTAGCACAGACTGGAATATGTTCCGGGATTCTTCCGATAGCATTGAGGAGTACACCACATCAGTCACTGGCTTCATCAATAAGTGCATTGATGGCGTCGTCCCCACAGTGACCGTACGTACAGTGAGGGAAAAAAGTATTTGATCCCCTGCTGATTTTGTACGTTTGCCCACTGACAAAGAAATGATTAGTCTATAATTTTAATGTTAGGTTTATTTGAACAGTGAGAGACAGAATAACAACAAAAAAATCCAGAAAAACGCATGTCAAAAATGTTATAAATTGATTTGCATTTTAATGAGGGAAATAAGTATTTGACCCCTCTGCAAAACATGACTTAGTACTTGGTGGCAAAACCCTTATTGGCAATCACAGAGGTCAGACGTTTCTTGTAGTTGGCCACCAGGTTTGCACACATCTCAGGAGGGATTTTGTCCCACTCCTCTTTGCAGATCTTCTCCAAGTCAATAAGGTTTCGAGGCTAACGTTTGGCAACTCGAACCTTCAGCTCCCTCCACAGATTTTCTATGGGATTAAGGTCTGGAGACTGGCTAGGCCACTCCAGGACCTTAATGTGTTTCTTCTTGAGCCACTCCTTTGTTGCCTTGGCCGTGTGTTTTGGGTCATTGTCATGCTGGAATACCCATCCACGACCCATTTTCAATGCCCTGGCTGAGGGAAGGAGGTTCTCACCCAAGATTTGACGGTACATGGCCCCGTCCATCGTCCCTTTGATGCAGTGAAGTTGTCCTGTCCCCTTAGCAGAAAAACACCCCCAAAGCATAATGTTTCCACCTCCATGTTTGACGGTGGGGATGGTGTTCTTGGGGTCATTGGCAGCATTTCTCCTCCTCCAAACACGGCGAGTTGAGTTGATGCCAAAGAGCTCCATTTTGGTCTCATCTGACCACAACACTTTCACCCAGTTCTCCTCTGAATCATTCAGATGTTCATTGGTAAACTTCAGATGGGCATGTATATGTGCTTTCTTGAGCAGGGGGACCTTGCGGAGGCTGCAGGATTTCAGTCCTTCACGGCGTAGTGTGTTACCAATTGTTTTCTTGGTGACTATGGTCCCAGCTGCCTTGAGATCATTGACAAGATCCTCCCGTGTAGTTCTGGGCTGATTCCTCACCGTTCTCATGATCATTGCAACTCCACGAGGTGAGATCTTGCATGGAGCCCCAGGCCGAGGGAGACTGACAGTTATTTTGTGTTTCTTCCATTTGCGAATAATCGCACCAACTGTTGTCACCTTCTCACCAAGCTGCTTGGCGATGGTCTTGTAGCCCATTCCAGCCTTGTGTAGGTCTACAATCTTGTCCCTGACATCCTTGGAGAGCTCTTTGGTCTTGGCCATGGTGGAGAGTTTGGAACCTGATTGATTGATTGCTTCTGTGGACAGGTGTCTTTTATACAGGTAACAAACTGAGATTAGGAGCACTCCCTTTAAGAGTGTGCTCCTAATCTCAGCTCGTTACCTGTATAAAAGACACCTGGGAGCCAGAAATCTTTCTGATTGAGAGGGGGTCAAATACTTATTTCCCTCATTAAAATGCAAATCAATTTATACCATTTTTGACATGCGTTTTTTCTGGATTTTTTTGTTGTTATTCTGTCTCTCACTGTTCAAATAAACCTACCATTAAAATTATAGACTGATCATTTCTTTATCAGTGGGCAAACATACAAAATCAGCAGGGGATCAAATACTTTTTTCCCTCACTGTACATACCCCAACCAGAAGCCATGGACTACATTGTGTGCTCGTCTTGGTCTCATACAATTTAAGTTTTTCCAAATCCAGATTGTCTGAAATATATCCATATGTAAATGATGAGTGTGATAGATGTAATGTCTGTAATGTAATGTGGTCCTCTGTAGCTCAGCTGGTAGAGCACGGCGCTTGTAACGCCAAGGTAGTGGGTTCGATCCCCGGGACCACCCATACACAAAAATGTATGCACGCATGACTGTAAGTCGCTTTGGATAAAAGCGTCTGCTAAATGGCATATTATTATTTATTATTATGTCTCACCATGTGACCTTAGTCACATGTTCATTCAATGCTCTAAACTACAAAATTACTGGAATTCTATTTTTAAAATTGTATCTGAGGTGCTTGAAATTAACCTGCAGCCATGTCCCTTGATAGCTGTTTTTGGTGTTCCAGAAGACTTGTTTTCCTTGGACCCCAAACATGCCGATATTGTTGCTTTTACATCCTTATTAGCTCGACGTAGAATTCTTCTCCAGTGGAAGTCTGCTCAGCCCCCCTCTACTTCTCAATGGCTCAACGATGTAATATTCTTCCTAAAGCTTGAGAAAATTAAGTATTCTCTTCGGGGTTCCAATGATACATTTGTTAGAACATGGCAACCATTTATATCATACTTTAATGGCTTGCAGAGGCTCCCCTCTGATGAGATGCTTTAATGTTTCCCAGTAGGTATTCCCATTAGTTATTATATAATAGGTACAGTCATCAATATAATATTATTGAGAATTGAGGTGGGTGGACTGAGGTAGGGCGGAGAGGTAGGGAAGGGACTGGGGGGTTGGGTGGATGTGTTGTGTGGAGGAAGGGATGGGGGGGGTGGGATATGGTAAAATCTTTGTACTTACATTGATGTACATTTTGTAAAACTTGAATAAAAATATATACAAAAAATATAATAATTTATTCAAAAATGAAAGAGAAGCAAGAGAGAGAGGGAGCGAGATAGCTAGCTATATTTCTCATAGTATTTTTTTCACTTTCACTTGCTTATCTAGCGAATGCAGCTAGCCAGTTTAGCCTACTCAAACACCCTAGCTGGCTAGCTGGCTATGGCTATTCCACACAGAAACTCTTCCAAGTCAAGGTAAGCTTTTGGTTTTATTAATTTATTGCCACCGAGGCCCGCCGGTGTAACTGCTAAACTGCTTGCTGACTGTACACTGCATGATTGTAGCGGGTTTACTAATGCGTTAATTCTAGTAGCTATGTTGACTATGACATTAACTAATATGGTGACAACGACGTAGGCTGTGTGTAGCGGTTAGCGGTTATGATATGAAGGTTTGGCTTGGAAAGGTTTTTTCACCTGGTCACAGACAACTGATGTGTTGTGAACTGAAGTCCACAAGCGAAGGGAAAAGGTGAGAGGAGGAGATTGAGTTGATGCAAGAAGGAATACAACGAGCAAAGTGATCATGCTGTTTGTATGCGGCTTCTATGAAAGTAAACTGTGTTTGCATGTGATCAGAGGTGTATTCATTCCACCGATTCTGCTGAAAAACGTTTCTTAAACGGAAGCAAACGGAAGGAAACGGGGATAAACATACCAGAATTTGTCCAATAGAAACTTGTTTGCAAATGTTGGACTAATGATTACTCCCTAGATCAGCTAGATGCAGGCAAGAGTGTGCAAGGCGGTATTAAATTAGTCACTGTCTGTCTCCTTGATTATTTTTCATTTTTCTCTCGACCTGTGCACCTACGTTGTAAACTTTAATTCATAGGCTAAATTGTAGCAACCTCATGATGGGTATAGGGAAAATTTGAGTATAATGTGTAATAGCCTAAACCTATCACTGTTTCATTGAGCTGGGTGAATGGAATATGAATATGAAAATAATCGTCCTCCATCTTAAACGGCACGGACCGCCACTCTACTGGAGTTAGAAAATAAACTCAGGTTTCATCTCCCTCTCTCTCTTTCCTCCCCCTCCCCCTCCCCCCCCCCCCCCCCCCCCCCCCCCCTCCCCCTCTCCCTCCCTCCCTCCCCCTCTCCCTCCCTCCCTCCCTCCTTCCCTCTCTCCAGGTATGGACATCATCAACGGGGCTATAGAGAGCCTGGTGTCCTCCACAGGAAAAGAGGACTGGACCCCTGTCATACTGAGTGTGGCTGACGCCACCGTGGCTGTCATCAAGGAGAAGGCAAGTATCATATTTTCTCCACTTAACTATGGATTATCTCTGACTCTCTTTACCACATTCATGATTTTCATTTGTTATCCATTTGGCAACTGCATGTGAAACAACAGATTCACATCTGGTCCGTCTGGACTGAAACCTACTGTAGATATTAATTTCATCTTAACCAACCTGGCTTGTCTTGCTTTAACCCATTGCCCTCATCATGAATAGAAACATGTCTACATTTCTACCTGAATATTCCCTATATTCTATAACTATTGGTCCCCTGGACAGGAAGAGGAAGAGGAAGTGATGGTGGAGTGCCGCGTGCGTTTCCTGTCCTTCATGGGAGTGGGCCGGGACATCCATACCTTTGCCTTCGTCATGGACTCTGGGAACCAGCACTTCCAGTGCCACGTGTTCTGGTGTGACCCCAACGCTGGCAGTGTGTCTGAGGCCGTGCAGGCTGCTTGTGTGGTGAGACTCCTACTCATACCTACTGTGTGTACAAATATACTGTATATATACAGACATTGTCTGCTTATCCTTTTTTCCTCATTCTTGCATATTTGAACAGACTGGGATATGGACATGATGTTAGGGTTGTGATTGAGGGTTAAGGTTGTGGTTGAGGCTACGGTTAGGGTTGAACCAGGACGTGGACATGAAGCTAGAGTTAGTGTTACGGTTGTGGTTGACTTAGACTGATGTACTTTCCTCTCCCCCCTTCCTCCTCCTCAGCTGCGTTATCAGAAGTGTCTGGTGGCACGCCCCCCCTCCCAGAGAGCTGGCTCCTCCTCCCCGCCCCCCGACTCGGTGACGCGCCGGGTGACCACCAGCGTGAAGCGTGGCGTCCAGTCTCTCATAGACACTCTGAAAACAAAGAAAACGTCCTCAGAACTGCCTCAGCAATGACAGACAGCTCACTGACCACACCCCCTACCCCAGCCCCTGACTCTGTCACTCACACTATCGCCAAGACTACGACCTACAACCACGCCTAACCAATACCAGCCATGGTAACCAACGATGTACATACATGTTAACTTAACACCACTGGGCAGACCAAAGGAGGAATGGATCTGGAAATGTATATCTGCTCAAAATAATAAAAGTGAACTAATCTGCAGAAGAAGAAGAGGAGGAAGGCCAAGCTATAGCAGAATGAGGTGCTGTTGATTTGTGTCATCACTAGTGGAACTTTCCATTGAGCTTGGAACTCTTCTGTGTCATAGCGAGACTTGCCTACTTTAGCCAGACCACACCTGTCCTCACCGGGCACTTCTTAGTCTTGTGGAGTATTATTACTACTGAGCTGTATGGAGGATGAAGCCGATGTCACACGAAGCATTCTGGGCACAATTGATGTTGCTTGCAACTCTGACCCAGTTGTCATGTCAACACAGCTGTAACTGCTGCTGCAAACCGCAACAAAAGAGACATGCCAAATGTCCGAAAAATTGGCTAGTCATGGTTTATGTACATGCTCTGGCAGTCAATAAATGTAATTCTAAAAGTGAACCCAGACCTTTCTCTGTCCAGTTTCAACTGAAATTGTCCAACATGAACTGCGCTAGCTAGGTTAGCTCGTCGCTAGCTTGGTAAAACATAGCCCTTGATCATGACTCTCAGTTCCATTACATTATACATAAGAGTCATTGGACGAAGGCGTCTTCTGTACGGGGGAGTTTTGTTAAGAGCCCCGACGCTCAAATCTGAACATTAACACGAGTCGCTTGCGGTACGGTTTTGGAAGCATAAGGACCTTATCTTTCATATCAGCGAGAAATAATTTTCAAAAAACGAAAGGTTAAATTGATACACACCTCGATAGGGCTAGGGTTACGACACAGCCATATCTCGATGTTACAGCGCTTGTTTACGGAAAACAGATGGAAGACAAGAGGCGACCACCTGTGCTAATTAGCTATCTAGCTTGCTCCGAACACCCATGTGTAAGGGTAACTCTGGAAGTGTAGCGGAAGTGTAGTTTCGTTGGATGGAGGCACCATAGCTGTATGGATGTGTGCAAAACTGCTACAGTAAGTGTATATTTTTATTTGAAGGATTCTTTCTCACTGATGAAAGATAAGGGCCATTTGTTTTCGAAAGCCGCATCGCAAGCGATGATTATCGACGTTTCTAAACGTTAAAACAGTGTTGGGATTGTAGTTAACATGAGCCAGTCATGGGCGAAGCGAATGGCTGAAAACTTTAGGGAGAAGGCAGAATGCCGCCTAGAGTTTGAGAGCTAGGTAAAATATATTTTGCAAGAAGCAACATTTTGGCTAGCTAGCTAAATTGTACAGACAGCATTTTGTCTATATCGATGCTGTTTCAATATCAAACGTTTGGATAAACAAATCATTTATGTAACCATGATGTGATGTATAACAAGATTGGATGAAATTGCATCCAAATTGCTTCCTGTGACACAGGCTTTAGACTACTACTGAGACACACTGGACATACTGTACCTGAGAAAAATAACCAATCCCCATTGAGTGTTGGCTTTGTTGCATCAGGAAGCCCATACTGAATGTCTGATCGTTTCTCTTTATCCATCCCCTTTTTTCTACTTATTGGGCACAGTGAGAGCAGCCCTGTTCCCATCGCAGTGCCAAACTGAGTAGCATTCCAGAACGGGACCCACACACACACAAGGGTCTCTTTAAGATGTCTGTCTCGTTGACGTGGAAACGGGACATGCTTATGGTAAAAGCCGATCACTACTGACAAGGCCACTGACCAATCGCCGCCATCCAGCTGCTCTACCCGACCTGGTAACCTTTGAGCCGCAGACTCCAACAGAGATGTGTCATGTGACGGACTATACAGCCATGATGTCGTAGCAGAGACAGGAAGTGTACAGAACATGGGAACCAATGTATTCCATTCCATCTGGCTCACATAACGGACTGAACCAATGTCTCCCTTGAGGAGGGGTGCTCGGATTGTAAAGTAATGATTGTACCCCAGGTTGGAGATGAGAGGGGAGAGGTTAGAGAGAGGAATGGGGTGCTGTTGGTATTTCATGTGTCTGTAATCTGAATGTGAGTGTAGAGATAGAGATGGGTCATCATTGGGGAGAGAGGTTACTGAGGAGGGTGTCAATATGGACAGATGCTCTGCACAAAAGCCTAACCCCACCAGACGATCTACACCTGTCCCCACTCACACACACACACACACACACACACACACACGTTCACCCAGCTATAGAGAGCTGACCGCCCACCTTCTCCTTTAGAACCCAGGTACACCTCTGTACACTCTAACTCAACTCTGTGAATGCAATCCACTCCAACGTAAATACATACGTGAAAATAGTGTGATTCATGTGCTCTGTTCTTCACTCATCTCTACACCATGTAATTGTAATCTGTTGTGAAAATAAATGCATTACCAAAACAAGGGAAGGTCTTGAAAGTGCAGGTTTATTTTCTCATGTAATGGGTCAAGTCATTGAAGTCATGAAATCATATATTTGGTAACTGGCACTACTGTAAAAATATACAATTACTGTATATTTGAGATATGGCATACTTGTTTTATGACACACGAAAAGCATTAAAGTGAAATTACTTTAAAGGTACTTCATTGTTTTTGCTTTATATTCATTGCAAAGTAAAACTATAATACTGACAGCACTATGGACACTGTGTGTGAATGTAACTTGCGTGTGTATATATATATGTGTGTGTGTGTGTGTGTGTGTGTGTGTGTGTAACATGTCTTCTATATTTCAGTGTATGGTAGTGTGTTTTTTGTCTTTAGTAATTGAGTGTGTGTCTGTGTGTATTTGCCTGAAGTATTGTCAAAGCCAGGGGCGAGCGTGTTTGACGACAGGCTTTTCGTTGACACTACCAGAGGACTTGACCAGGAGCACCTGGGGGGGTGAGGTCTTCCACTGGTAGTAGGCCAGGGTGGGGTTGGACCTCTGGGGGGACGGAGGGAGGTTCTGGATCTGTCTGGCCGGGGGGGAGTACCCAGGGAACAGGACCGGGGGCAGGGTGAGGGCTACGGGGCGCAGCACCTCCTGACGACCCTTAGGGGGACCGGGGTTGACCAGGGGGGCGGAGGGGGCTGTGGTGGAAGGGGCAGCAGGGGGGTTGGTGGCGGTGGGCGAGTGGCGGTTGTTGTATGCGGCTGCAGTGTTGATGAGGCGGGTCAGATTCTTCCTGGAGGGGATGGAGGCGGGGTTAGGGGCCGGAGTAAGGGGAGGTGTAGGAGGTACTGTTGGAGAGGGAAGGGTTGGGAGGGCGTCGGCGAGCAGGCTTGGCTTTACCTAGAGGACAGAGATAGAGGAGGAGGGGGATGGCGGAGTGTGAGAGAGAGGAATTAGGCGAAAGGAAGAGATGGAGAAGAGAGTGAGTGAGATAGCGCTTGGCCTTTGGACTAGTACGACATAGAAAGAGCTGTTGAGTAGACGTGTGTTAGGAGTGAATCTGTGTGTGTGTGAACGAACTGACCTCGTTGCAACAGACCTCCATTGGTCGACCCCACCGTAGGGGCGGAGCTACTACCCTTGGTCTCACGGTTCAGGAACTCCATGACTCTGGATTGGCTGCTGGCGGTGGCGTGTGGGCGTGTATTAGCTGAGCGGCCGTGACTGATTGGTGCCTGGTGGGTCTGTCGGCCACGCCTCTCCTTCCTGGTTGGATTGTTGGAATCGATCCCGTCCAATAGGCCCGTGGCTGCTGCCCTGGCAAGCACTTCCTGTGCAGACTCGATCTCTTCCAGGTCGGGCTGTCAGGAAAGGAACATGGAGAGAGTAAGGAGGAGATACTGGAACAAGTTTAAACCATGTGATCATTTTACGGCAAAAGAGGTTGGATATACAGTACTTTGCAATGCAAACAGAGTCTATGCAATGTAAAGATGAGTGTTTTATGAGCGCCAAGTAATCTGTAAATAGTACTTTAGAGAGGAGAGAGAGGCACCATGTCCTTTCTTCCTGCTGCAGGGTCACCTGCTGTCACAGCACCAACCCACACAGCTCTCCTCTCCCCACCAACTGAATAATTCACACTTCCTGAGAGAATGTGAGGGTGTGTGGTGTATGTGAGTGTTTGTGTGTGTGTACATTTGAGTTGTTGTGCAGATGTGTACGGGAGGGTCTTTTGGGGTTACACTGACTGTGTTAATGCTAATTCACACAGACAGGGGGCGCTGAATTATTCAACAGATTCTCTCCCTCCCCCTCTCCTCCTTTACCTCCCTTTCTCCTCTTCTCTCCTTCCTCAATCTCACATCCGCCCCATCTCCCCTCACTTCTGTTCAAGCCTCTTAAAATAATTTTACATTTTAGTCATTTAGCAGACGCTCTTATCCAGAACGACTTACAGTTAGTGAGTGCATACATTTTTTATACTGGCCCCACATGGGAATCGAACCCACAACCCTGGCGTTGCAAGCGCCATGCTCCACCAACTGAGCTACAGGAGGCTACAAATCATCCTCTCTACCTGGGCACACTACTAAACTTGTGTGCAGCAACAAACCCCAAACACCACCATACACAACATAGGTCCTAAACAACCATATTCTACGTACCACAAACTGTTTGACCCAGTTCTGCCATTCTCACCGCACCTCTGATAACTAGGCAGAATTTAAACTCCCACCTCTGCTGTGCAATTCTACTTGCCTACTTAAAAGCTAAAAGAAACCCGCACATAATTCTAAATTCTGTCTGTGTATGACACAACTCTAACCGTCTCTCTATATGGGGACATTTAAGAGCACTGCAAACCTGTGATGTGATGTGGACAGTCCCACTGCAGGAGTCCAGAGTCCAGACACATCACAGTCTCAACACAGAGTTTATTGTCCCTAGCTGTTCTTGTATGAAAACCTCATAAAATGATTTTACTGGGCCCAATGTGACGCCCGCTCCCAGTGAAATTGCATTCCCACACTTATCTAATTGCTATTTTTACGGCGCTTTTCAGAGTGCCACAATAACTTTTGATTAGCTGAGTTTATTGGAGGTGGAAAGAAACCTGTTTGAGGTGCTATTACGGCAGTTTGATTATCTTTTCATGCCTGTCTGTGGAGGTATAAATGTGATGGCTGACAGGGGGATGAACAGATGCTGCTTTGACGGATGGAGGGGGGGGAGAGAGAGAGCACTCCGTCACACCCTGAGAGAGAGGGAGAAAATTGCTTAATAATCCAGTGTGTCGTAAACGGTAGAGTAGAGCAGGTTTCATTATGTGGAGGAATATCCTAAATGTGGCCATGCTTGGTAATTTGGATTATAGGGGCCTGTGTGGCCGACCGTGGGTCCATAAGCAGCCAAGCAGCAAGCTAGGTAGGCAGGCAGGAAGCTAGGTAGGCAGGCAGGAAGCTAGGTAGGCAGGCAGGAAGCTAGGCTAGCGGTACGGTGGCTGTGGCTCTGTGAAAGTAGCTGCTCCATCATCATTACTCCACTGCACCACACTTAGCAGCTAAAGCCCAGTAAAGCACAGCTAAGCTGCCGTGACTGAAGTCTCACTTAAGACCCACCTACAGAGGGAGAGAGAGTAGAGAAACTGCAGGAGAGAATGGGATGGAGAGAAACTGCAGGAGAGAGTGTGATGAAGAGAAACTGCAGGAGAGAGAACGAGGGAGAGAGGAATGTGTGAGAGTGGTTAGTGTGAGAGAGATCGACATTGCATGAGAGATTACATGAGAGAGAGACTGTAAGACAAAAAGAAAGAGTTTGGTTTAATTGATGTGAAAGAAGAAGACAGGAACAGCATTGAGGGAATGGGAGATAGAAAATAGACGAGAGACTGAGGAGAACAGAGAGAGAAAGACATCTCCACTCTTCCACATCAACATAGACAGCCAAGTCAATCATCATAATACTCTCAGAAAATATGACGGCATTGAACTGAATCCCCCCAAAAATGATGACAGAATTGAACTTAAGCAGATATCAACATACACTTCCTCTTCCATAGGGTTCTCTGGATGAGAACCTCCTGGCAGTACCATGCATTATAGTATTCAGTACACAGCACATGATGTGATTTCTGATCATGTATGACACATTTACACTTTGGTCTGTACTGTCTGTCACTCTGGTTCTACTTCTTACAGCTACAGTACAAAGAACATAGAGAATGAAAGACGAAACGGAGCATCTCCTACTGGACGTGTGTGTGTGTCTGTGTGTGTGTGTGTGTGTGTCTGTGTGTGTGTGTGTGTGTGTGTTTAACTATACTTGTGGGGACCAGAAGTCCCCACAATAATTGTAAAATAACAAACATTTGACCAACTGGGGACATTTTGTTGGTCCCCACAAGGTAAAATGCTATTTCAAGGGAGTTTAGGGTTAAGGTTAGAATTAGTGTTAGGGTTGAAATTAGGTTTAGGAGCTAGGGTTAGTTTTAGGGTTAGGGTTAGGAGCTAGGGTTATGTTTAGGGTTAGGGTTAAGGTTTTCGGGTTAGGGGTTAGGGAAAATAGGATTTTGAATGGGACTGAATTGTGTGTCCCCACAAGGTTAGTTGTACAAGACTATGTGTGTGTGTGTGTGTGTGAGTGTGTGTGTGTGGACCAGACTGTAGCTAAGTGCTCAGCCTCTGTATTGTCATTAGATAGGTTCTGACTGCTCTACAGTTCTTCTATAGCAGCCCTGCTCTCTCTCTCTCTCTCTCTCTCCAAAACAGCCCTCTTCTTTCATCTCCCTCCTTCCTCCTCTCAACCTCTCGTTTCGGTCACCCATTCTCAGGTCTGTCTTCTTCCTCTGATCCTTCCTTCACCCTCTTCTCTCCTTCATTCTGATCTCCTCTCCCCCTCCTCCTCCCCCTCTCCAACTGCTGCTCTGCTCTACCTTCAAGGCTGTACATGTCTGTCTTCATGACCTCAATGCTGATCTTTTCACCTTCAGATCTTCCTCTTTCTCTCTCTCTCTTTTACCATCATCTCCTCTTCTACCTCTTCCCTCGCTCTGCACTCTATCTCTTGCTTCCCTCAGGTAGTAGATGGAAAGACGTCCTGCCGCCTATTTCTGTGCCCCAACACGCAGTCCTTCTAGCCTTCTGTTCTCTCCATCCTCACCCTCCCTCCTCTCGCTCCCCCTCGGTCTTCCTCTCAGGGGTATGACCTAGAACCTGTCATCTTCTCTGCTCTCAGTTTCACCTGATCTCAACTGAAGCTCTGCCTTTCCCTCTCTCACGCACACAGAGGCCATGATGTCAGCTTTCTGCTTACTCCCTGTCTCTCATTCAAACTGTCTTAACTCCCCCTCTGCCCTTCACCCCCCTCCGATCCCCCCCCCCACGCTCACCGCCCCTCCTCTCCCAGAGACCTCCCCGCCCAACCCCCTCGCCCGCAACTTCACCGCCCCGCCCTCACCCTGCCCTCCGCCCCTAGAACGCCCGTCCACCGCACGCACCTCCCCTCCCCCTTATACTCCCGACCGCCACCTTCAACCACACCTTCACAGCACGTCCTCATCTCCTCCGCCCTCCTCCACTAGTCCCTTCATCACCCGTTCACCTACCTAAAAACTTCACCGCCCCCCCCCCCTTCACCTCACCTCCTCTCCCCTTCATCTCACCCCTTCACCTCCCTCCTCTCCCCTTCACCTCACCTCCCCTCCACCTCACCTCCTCTCCCCTTCACTTCACCTCCCCTCCACCTCACCTCACCCTCCCTCCTCTACGCTTCACCTCCCTCCCTTCCTAAGCACCCAAAACCCTCTTTCCACCTGCCAAAACATCCAAAATGTTCTAGACTTTGTAAACTTCCAAACTCCTTCAGACACTCACAAGAGATGACAAGCATGTTCTCTTTTGTCAGTGTATTTTTCTTACATGAAGCAGGCTGCCTTTCTCAACCAAACTCTTCTCTGTCTGAATTCTTCTCTGTCTGGTTTGGGTGACTCATGGGGTTTTTTTCTCCCTCTCTTCTTCCAGCTCTAAGAAAACAAACAAGTCTGCAGCCAAACATGTATACAGACAGTAGCGTTAAAATCCACCCTGTAGTGTTCAGCACTGAGGCTGGACTTTCCCTGTGTCTATAGAGTCTTGGGAGAGAGCACTCAATGCATTCTAGGAGCAGAGGGCTAAATCCGTTTCTCCCAGTGGCTCAGATGGGTGAGGACATTGGCCTTACTGCTGATGATAGTGGTGGGATAGTTATATGATAATAAACAGCACATTGGGTCTTCTCAGAGGGGAATACACAGTCTAGCTCAGTGGTCACCAACCGGTCGATCGCCAAGTCATTCCTAGTCGATCACCAAACATTTCCCTAGAAAAGCCAACGATAAAGCCTTGTGATCCTTTTTATTTTGTATTGGGCTGTTGGCGGTAGATGCACTTGATTCAGAAGCCCTGCGCGCCGGGTAGGCAAATTGTTCCCATTTTGAACCATATAATTTGTCTGAAGGGCGGACCAGGAGAGCTGTGGCTAAATCAAGTGTGCCTACTGCGCTGGCCAATCGGATAGCTCAAATCATCATGCCTACAGCTTCCACGAGCCCACAGCATACTAGCCTTTTAAAACCATGACCAGAGAGAGACTGTCAAAGAATACAGCAAAGAGCTGCTGTTTCTTATGAGTGAGCTCATGTTTAAGAATTTATTCTGCATGTCAACACTGTTTTTATTCAGCACTGTCGACACTGTTTTTATTCAACTCTGTCGACACTGTTTTTATTCAACTCTGTCAACACTGTTTTTATTCAACTCTGTCGACACTGTTTTTATTCAACTCTGTCGACACTGTTTTTATTCAACTCTGTCAACACTGTTTTTATTCAACTCTGTCAACACTGTTTTTATTCATCACTGTCAACACTGTTTTTATTCATCACTGTCAACACTGTTTTTATTCATCACTGTCAACACTGTTTTTATTCTTCACTGTCAACACTGTTTTTATTCATCACTGTCGACACTGTTTTTATTCAACTCTGTCAACACTGTTTTTATTCAACTCTGTCAACACTGTTTTTATTCATCTCTGTCGACACTGTTTTTATTCAACTCTGTCAACACTGTTTTTATTCAACTCTGTCAACACTGTTTTTATTCATCACTGTCAACACTGTTTTTATTCATCACTGTCAACACTGTTTTTATTCATCACTGTCAACACTGTTTTTATTCTTCACTGTCAACACTGTTTTTATTCATCACTGTCGACACTGTTTTTATTCAACTCTGTCAACACTGTTTTTATTCAACTCTGTCAACACTGTTTTTATTCATCTCTGTCGACACTGTTTTTAATCAACTCTGTCAACACTGTTTTTATTCAACTCTGTCAACACTGTTTTTATTCTTCACTGTCAACACTGTTTTTATTCATCACTGTCAACACTGTTTTTATTCATCACTGTCAACATTGTTTTTATTATTAGCAGCTCGTTGTGTTTATTTTAATATCGAGGAATATTTCACTTTCTCTGGTCATAGGAACAACATGACTTTGTGCAAGAGGCAGAAATAATGTGACTGTGCCCCCTCTCTCTGGTCAGTCTCACCGGAGGAAAGGAGAGAGCAGGGACTGTGAGAGGAGGAAAGGAGAGAGCAGGGACTGTGAGAGGAGGAAAGGAGAGAGCAGGGACTGTGAGAGGCGGAAAGGAGAGAGCAGGGACTGTGAGAGGCGGAAAGGAGAGAGCAGGGACTGTGAGAGGAGGAAAGGAGAGAGCAGGGACTGTGAGAGGCGGAAAGGAGAGAGCAGGGACTGTGAGAGGAGGAAAGGAGAGAGCAGGGACTGTGAGAGGAGGAAAGGAGAGAGCAGGGACTGTGAGAGGCGGACCCCCTGCTGAGACTGTCCATCAGATGCAGGTACCATCAGTCCAGTAAAATAAAAAAGCAAATTATTTTAATTTATTCTCAGCTGTGCCTCGCAAGTGATACAACAACTGATCTATTTTGTTCGAGTTTTGAAATGGTCTGAGAAGAACAGTATTGGCAGGCCAAGCATAGCCAATGTGCTGTGATAATGTACTAGGCCTACTGCACAAACCTCATTCCTACATAACTGTTTTTATTAGGTTAATGTTGCATAGGCTTACATTTTGTAAGTCTTTTTTTGTTTGTTTTTATCTGAGCGGTAAATCTCGCTTTTTGACTGCGAAAGTGATCTTGACTCAGAAAAGGTTGGTGAATTACAAGTATCACAACAGGGGTCTGTCTTCACTCTCTCTCTCTCTGTCTCTCTCTCTCTCTCTCTCTCTCTCTGTCTCTCTCTCTGTCTCTCTCTCTCTGTCTCTCTCTCTCTGTCTCTCTCTCTCTCTGTCTCTCTGTCTCTCTCCCTGTGTCTCTCTCTCTGTCTCTGTCTCTCTCTCTCTGTCTCTCTCTCTCTCTCTCTGTCTCTCTCTCTCTCTGTCTCTCTCTCTCTCTCTGTCTCTCTCTCTCTGTCTTACCTCTCTGGTGAGTACAGCTAGGAAACAGCCGTTAGTTTCGTCTGAAGGATCCAGTCTGAAGAACGGACCCCCTGCTCTCTCCTCAGCTCGGCCCAGAGATGTGGGTAAGGAAGAGCTCGGCCTGGACAACACGCACGCACAGTCACACACAACGCATGCAGTGAGGGATACATGCACACACAGACACACAGACAGAGTTAATAAATGCACAAGTACTTCAGTGGCACAGGCCACAAGTCAATACAATCCCTACCAATAGTCTTAGGTATAGCTGTTTAAGCCTGGGGCTGTAGAGAACTGTTGGCCTGATGGAAAAGATGGCTTGATGGAGTAAAAGAGTCTAACTTCAAGAACAATATCCACACAGGGAAAACTATGCACGAGATAACGAGGAAAGAGTTTCTCTGTTTGGAGCTGATAATGATTTCATCTCTAATTGCAGTCCTTTAGGTCCTACCTGGGGTGCTAAAGTTTGAGAGACAGAGAGCTGTAGATAGGGAGGAAGGAGGTGAGCAATAGAGAGAGGGAGAGAGAGAAATTGAAATTGAATTGACAGAGACAGAGACAGAGACAGAGACAGAGACAGAGAGACAGAGAGACAGAGAGAGAGAGAGAGCGCGAGAGCGAGACTAACCTGAAGACTTGTAGTTTGGGTCCCTCAGTAGGCCCAGCCTGCTCCAGAGCTCTCCTCACCACCTCTTCATTCTCCTCAGGGTACGAGGAGCAGGTAGAGTACACCACCACCTGCACCTTGGGGACTGGAAACACGCGCGCACGCCAACACACACATGAGCAAACACACACTTTAAATAAATACACACCTACAGTATTAGCACACAGCCCCACTAGGCATATTAAATTAATATATCTCCAATGAAACAGAGCAGATGACGGCAAAAAGACGGCTAAGCCTAAAATTGTTTTTCACATTACACTGCACACAAAGCACTTTCCTCAAATGAAACAATCCCCACTAAAGGGCTTTGAAGCAGAGAATGCATAAATGTTATTTTTCTTTAAACAGTTCACGTATTAAGCATTTCTCATTTCATTCCACTGTTGCCTTGCACCAGATGTTGATTCCAGCCAAACATTTATTTGGCTGCTTGATTCCAGTCCTTTGGTCTGGAGTCCAAATTGGAGATTTTTGGTTCCAACCGGCGTGTCTTTGTGAGACACGGTGTGGGTGAACGGATGATCTCTGCATGTGTAGTTCCCACCGTAAAGCATGGAGGAGGAAGTGTTATGGCGTGGGGGTACTTTGCTGGTGACACTGTCTGTGATTTATTTAGAATTCAAGGCACACTTAACCAGCATGGCTACCACAGCATTCTGCAGCGATCTGGGTTGGGCTCAGTGGGACTATCATTTGTTTTTCAATAGGACAATGACCCAACACACCTCCAGGCTGTGTAAGGGCTATTCACCAAGAAGGAGAGCGATGGAGTGCTGCATCAGATGACCTGGCCTCCACAATCCCCCGACCTCAACCAAATTGAGATGGTTTGGGATGAGTCGGACGGCAGAGTGAAGGAAAAGCCTCCAACAAGTGCTAAGCATATGTGGGAACTCCTTCAAGACTGTTGGAAAAGCATTCCAGGTGAAGCTGGTTGAGAGAATGCCAAGAGTGTGCAAAGCTGTCATCAAGGCAAACGGTGGCTATTTGAAGAATCTCAAATTCTTTGGTTACTACATGATTCCATATGTGTTATTCCATAGTGTTGATGTCTTCACTATTATTCTACAATGTAGAAAATAACAAAAAAATTAAGAAAAACCCTTGAATGAGTAGGTGTGTCCAAACTTTTGACTGGTACTGTATGTGTGCTGTTACAATATTCAAAAAGAAAATACTTGTAAACATCAAAAGAGATGCAGAACCGCCAGTCAACGTGCCAACAGTTGGGTCGATAGCCATCTGCCATTCATTAACGGCCCGTTAGAGAGGATCTGCCGCTGCTGGCAAAAACATTTGAGCCCGATCAATGACCATGTGATTAGAGAAGCTGGGTTTCCGTCGCGCATGCACGCACGCACACACACACACACACACACACACACACACACACACACACACTCCCCCCCGATTAACATAATCCAGCCCACACAGAGTTCATACAATAAGACATGAATACTGGTTGGGTTTGCTGTGTTTCTTCAAGCTGGCTCTTTAAACCAGCCCTGTGTGTGTGTGTATGAGGGAAAGGGCACATCATTGGGAAGGTTACTGAGTTGTTGTGTTGTAGCTAACAGGAGAGTCATGCTGACCGGACCAGGAAATATTAGCATTTCTAATTAAGACTTAGAGCCTCTCAGAGGGGAACTCAGCTCTAATTGCAAATGAGATTAGATCATTTGTGAGAGAGAGGGCATGTGTACGCACACACGCACACATAAACACTATCTCTTTCTCTGTAGGTTCTCACACTCACACTTCAGGGCATGGACGATGTCTCTCTTCTGCTGGGCCACCAGTGTGTCCAGCTTGGTCTGGGCTATGGAACCCTGGGACAGGTCCTGGAGCAGGTCTGTGTCTGAAACAGAGAT